GGGGGGATCAGTAAGGACTTCAAGGAAGAGAAGATACATTTTTAAATAGGTTGAACAACGATTAAGAGTTTCCAGGCAGACAAAAGATATCCAACCTCTTTGCCAAAACAAGAGTTGAGTCAGGGCATTCCATTGGCAATTAAGGGATTCCACGTCAGGAAGCATCACTCCGCTAAGTGCTTTGCTCCCTGCTCTTACAGTTCACACCCTCAGCAGGTAGACAAACCTGGGGTCAGGGGACTCAGTGTGTTTTGTGGGTCACTGCTGGAGGTTCCAAAACCCTGGAGGCATGGGCTTACCCGGAGCCAGAAAGTGGTCTGAGCCAGCTGGGAGTAGGGGTAACTGATGGTGCAAGGATACCAGGCATGCTGGGAAAGGCCTTCACTGAGATCTATCACCTTGGTTCGACACACCTGGAAAAGGATAAAGAAAAGATAATAATGTTTGAAAGAGTCTCCGAAGGTCAACTCAATTCGACAGACCTTTACGATTTCACCTATTTTGTTCTTGGCACTCAGGAGGGAATGGGGATGAATGGGTAAGAATCAGCTCACATTCTAACATAGGTAACACTCAGTGCGGTTAAGAAAATAGGAAACAACGTATTTTGGTGATGGTGGCAGCAGAGACATTCTCATGGAGACAAATCCTGGAGGAGCTGAGGTTTCAGTTGAGTCTGAAAGAACACACTACAGCTGAGAGGAAAAGCATTGCAGGCTGAGGGCCCAGAAACCAGGGCTAAAGGGGAGCAGAGACCCACAATGTGTAGGTTGCCACAAACTGCCTGGAACACGGATGACTGAATCCGGGAGAAAGCGGTAGCCAGGCAGGTAAGTGGAGCTGATCTCGCATAGTCTTGACTGCCAAGTAGACAATTTTAGAACGAATATGTAAATTGTCCTCAGAGCTGTATTAACAACAGAGAAAAGGTGGAAAGTACGAGCATTTGCTTCCCCGTCACCAAAGAAAATCCCTTATACACACACACACGTGTGCACACACACTCTGTGAATAGATAATATCAAACGATGTTAAAAGAAACAGGAAATATTTACACAGTTACAGAGAAGTAGAATTCTTTAAACTTAGGAGTTTCTGGCATAACCGGAAACTCATTCATTCATTCGAATGATATTTATTGAGTGAGTCCCATTTGCCAAACCCTCTGGGACAAAGTGATAAGAAAGACAGATGGTGAGGAGCTCAGACCTGACGATACGTGTGGGTACCGATCATGTAGGGATATATGCCGATGTAACTACAGACTGAGGTAGGCACTGTGAGGGAAAAACGTGGAGGGACAGCTGAGTTGTTCCTGAGATCCGTCAGACCTTTGGCAAAAGGTCAGCCCCAATTAGTGCTTTCCTTCTGATCTCTGATGTGACTTCTCTTTCGAAACTTTCTTGTGAATTTGGGGCTGTCATTTTACATGACGGTCTGGTTCTAGTCTGCTCAGCTGCAAAAGTAAGGCTGACCTAGAGAGCTCCGGAGCTCTGATACACTTTGAAAATGAATGTGAGATCATCTATTCTCAACCAGATTCAATAAACACAAAGACACATTAAAGCGAACAAAAATGAAAAGGAAAAGGGAAAAATTATACACGAGGAGCAAGGATGTCTATTCACGCAGTACGTATCGTAGCAGAAGATTGGGAAGAATCTTCATGCTTGTCTGTCGAGGAAGGAATGCATAAAATACAAAACATCGACATGATAGCATTTCACATGACCAAGGAATATGAAGAAGGATGAACTAGATTCGTGTGCAGGGAGGGTATAAAAATATTTAACACGTGGCTCAGCGTGGGCCCCGGGCAGTCAAAGTGGAAGCTGAGCTCATGGGCACCAACATGGACAGATCACAGAAACATAACCCTGAGTGAAGAAAAGAAACGAAGAGCACAGGGACCAGTACATGACGATGCCACTTATAAAAAGCACGCAAAGCCAAACTATATCGCCGAGGGATCTGTATGAGTCAACAACGCAATAGAAAAATATACACCAAATTCAGTGTGGCAGTTGCTTCTGGTACTTGGGGCGAGGAACAAATGGGATTTCAACCTTCTTGTGTTTGGTTTACACCATTCCGTAGCATTTATGAAACGTTTAAGTACACATCAAAAATGGCTTAGAAAGTCATTAAAAATAGATATAACCTAATCAGAATCAATTCCCCTAAAAATGTATTCTGTTATTCTTAACAACAGGCTCCAATAAACTGGACTTAGGTCTGAATCTCCTTCTCACTCTTGGTGTCACCAACGGTCCCTTGCCAAGAATCCCATCTCTATTTCCCATTATATTCCATCCTGGAAATTTCATCTATCAATCTGCTAAAACTCAAATGCCTCTCTCTCCATCATTTTTTGGGATGATTCTGGCTTCTGGGAGCTCTTAGAAAATGTAAAGTCTGAGTTCTCTTTACAGAAGTGAGACACAGATCAAAGTTTAACTAGAAAATATAGCTGGACTGTGATCTACAATCGCAATCACTAATACTTTTACTTTCAAATAAACTTTTTGGGGGAATAACGTTTCAAAGATAAAACAGAGCTTCGTACACCCCTCACCTGGTTTCCCTCTGTGTAAACATCTTAATCAATTCATTCCTGAAACCTCAAACAGAGGAAGGTAAGTTGCTTAAGCAACCTTGAAGAACCACAAACTGTCATGCAGGAAGCAGTTGTGAAGTGCTGGGCTGGTTTTGGATGAAGGATACCTCACCCATGCTCACCGTAAATACAATGTGGAATTGTAGATAAGTGATCTTGCCTTATTGGACCTCAGTGTGTCCTGCACATTTGAATGTTAGATGAGATCGTAACTTTTCAGGTGTCTTCTGTGAATTCTTAGGGTTTTGTGGAGATGTCAGCCTGGGGGTCAGGGTGTGGAGAGGACCCTCTGACTTCCCACTGCCCCCTCCCAGCACCTCTACACATCTGTTTTATATATCTGGCTGCCTTGTAGTATTTCATTCAAGACAAGAGCTTCACACTGCTTTAAAAAAACAGAAAAATTATTAAAATGCATTAGTTACCGTGTTAAAGGAATTGATGGGTTCTGATATTAGTTCCCTGAATGTCACAGAAACTTCTTAAGGAGAATAAAGGTGCCAGGAATCAGCAAGCCCATTGTCTAAGAATAAAGCAATGGCTTCAGTTATTCAAATCTCCAGAAGCTTAATACAGAGGAGACTCAGGGTAGAACGCAGCCACTTTCGTGTGCTGGAAAACGTTTTCAAGTTTATTTATTTTTCTCAAAAACAACTGGGATGGGGCTTAGGGAGCTCTGCCAGTAGATTGTGTTACACTTGACAACAGTGAGAGACTTTGCATAAACTATCCATGGCATTTGAAATCCAGGCCAGCAATTCGACATGTATCATTTTGGAATTCCTTCCCCTTGTGCTCCTAGCCGCCTGTCTCCCAGCAGAGCGTGGTAGAGCACGTCTCTGACTGCTGGACCCGGGGTCTTATCGCTGCATCTAACGCATTCGCTGTCAGAAAAGTCTCTTAGTGTTTAAACACGATCTCTTCTTATCTCGTCAGTTCTGTCTGCATAGACAGGGTCTTAGGAGTACACGCTGCTGTTATTGTATTCTTCTGTTTTCCTAGTTTTGTGTTTGTTTCAGGCTGGCTGCTATGCTGACCAAGGACAGTCAAAGCAGACCAGAGAGGAAGGAACACATCCAGCTGAATTTCTGCCCGAAGCCCTCGAAGATCTTAAAGTCGCTTATGTTCCCGGGGAGATGGAAGGAGGCTAGAAAGAGGAGAGAGACAACATCTCACAGCCTCCTGTGTTTGCAGACGGGGCATGAATTTGCTCATTCTCAGCCTCCAGAGCCCTGACGACAAAAGGGCCATGCCCAAGATACGAAGCTGGCTGCTAAGGACACGAGTGTGACCCTGGGTAATTGATTCCATGGAGATGCTGTTTTTATCCATCCACTTTTTCTGCACCTTCCAAAAAAGCAAATCCAACTTGACAAAGCATTGGCGGGCAATGTAGATTTTACTGAGCGCTCTGTGAGGGGACCATGCAGGAGAGCTACATCACACAGCCCAGAGGACTTCTCAGTTCCCCCCCCACGTCACTCCAAGTTCCTCGTCACTTGTCCTCGCCTCTTGTCCAGTTTTCCCAGTGACACTGGCAGCACAGACATCCCCAATCTCTCTTCACCTCTTCCACTCCCAATCTGCACGTACCTCAAGTTTCCTGCAGAGTCATTCTGTTCTCCCCCCGTTCTCTACTTTTGTACCCCAATTCCTTCTGATGATTCTGAATCTCTCCCCAGCCATCCAGCCTCAGAGGTGTCCCGAGGTTGAGCATAGTAACCTTCTTGTCTCTCCCTATCACATGAGTATGAACCAGACCTGCTCCCCACCCTCACACATCAAGCACACTCTAGAAACAACGGCAGTCCCCGGTTTCCCTAGGAAGTCAAGAAGACAGCCCCTAGAATTGAACCTGGGTCTCCTGTACTGCCCCCTGCCCTATTTACTGCAGTATGATTCCTGACGGCCAAGATGGAGTAACAACTTACATGTCCATCACAGATGACCAGTTGAAGAAAATATGGCACACATATACGATGGAGTATTATTCAGCCTTACAAAAGAAGGAAATTCTGCAATCTGCAACAAGAGCGAAGAACCCTGAAGAAATCACACTAAGTTAAATAAGCCAGTCGCAGATAACAAATACTGCATGATTCCACTGAACATGGGGCGTCTGAGATAGTCAAATTCACAGACTCGAAGACAGAATGAATGGTGGTCAGCAGGGGCTGGAGGAAGGCAGGGAAACGTAGTTACTAATCAACAGACATAGTTTTCACCTAAGCAAAACCAGTAAGTTCTAGAGATTTGCTGTACAAGGTTGTGCCTGTAGTTAAGAATAATATCTTATACACTTCAAAATTTGTTAAGAGGATCGCTCACATGCTATGCTTTTATAAAAATAAAATAATTTTTTAAAATGCAAGTGTGACTTTGATGAAAATATTGCCACTCACTGAATAAAGGAATCCATTAATAAATGATCTGGTGAAGGGATGAAAAAAAATTCACATAATGCTGCTGCTTTGAGAACAGATGTGGCTGAGCTGACAAGCACCCTCGCTGAGGTCCTCTTAGGGTTAGAGAGGGATTCACAGCCTCTTCCTGATTAATTTATGGACGGAGGACTCATATTCATTTATAGGCAATCCAGTTTACCTTTCTAGTAATCCAGTTCTTTCTAGCAATCAGAGTGGGAGATGCTTGGCTACACTTTCTCCTACCCTTTTCTTCTAAGTAGAAGGCCTGAGACCATTCTCTTGCAGTGGCCAAGGGAGGGGAGGTGCCTTGCACAACAATACACAGTCAATTAGCGACAGTATTGTTAGGAAAATGCAAGATTTTCAGTCT